CCGAAGCTGCAGGGACACCGAGGGCAGTCATAATGCCCACCTGACAAACCTCATCCCCTTATTTATTCCCCTTTTACTCAGCCCACCTCTGATGTCAACACACACACACACACACACACAGGCGAATGAAATGAATAAACACGTAGCCGCGGAACCTGCAGAGCAGCGATAAGTCAGGCACTGTGCGCGGGCTCTGCCACAGCAGCGCTGTTTTCAACCTAATTGGAACTAAGTAGCAGACGCATGTGGGAGCAAACATATGGCTATATTCATATGCACGTTCCCCTATTTGGACACGGCGTCTATTTAAATATAAATTGAACTGGGGCTGCTCAAACTCAATCCAACTGATCAGGCTAATGTCAAACCCAGTCTTGCATTAGATATAGTGGTTATTATAGCCTCCGTTTTTATTTAACAAGTAACTGCACGCTGGCCGTGCTCTGCCGTCGTCGAAATAAAGCAATCGCGTTATGCTGGTCAGTCAATTAGTGGTGAGTGTCCGCGATGCAGGCTGAGACTCTCGGGCTGTTAAAGCAGCATGTCTCCCCGTGACCACAGCCTCTCTGAGACGAGACAAAACAGTTCCGCGAGACTATTTTCCGAGGAGACTGTCAAGAGAGGTTGCGCCTCATTTCTCAAAGCAGGTAGCGAGTAATAAAAAGTTCTCTCTTAAGCCGCCGTACATTAGCAATCCAGCGAGAAAAGTGAGAGCTTGGAAAATGAGCAATGTTGTGGAGGGGAGGGGTCCGTCAGACATCACAATTACAGCCTGTGCGTCTTGCGAAAAAAAAAGAAGAAGCTGAAATCAATACAGAAACAAACTGCACAATCAGCCGGGGCTTGCTATCACGGCTGGAGTGGAATATGCAAAAACAGCAATTAAATGTGTTAGCATACACACTCTTTTCCATGATATCGGGGCATCTGTGGCATTAGTGAAGCGACTCCTTACGGATAATGGAGTCAGGAAATGAATGCGCAATCTACCTCTGTGTTTTCATCATTAGCGGGAGACAACTCTGCTAACATCGCCTAGCGATGCCGGGCGGGAAAGAGGAGAGAAAGAATTTATGTGCCCTCGCATGCCAAATTAATTCTTGTCTTGACATCTTAATTCTCAGTTCTTGTGTGTGGTCAAATCAGCCCGCGATAGAAAAGCAATCAAGCAATTATTCCTAAATTATATTTGCCCAACACACACTGATTGGTTATTCTTTTCTTATTGGCTAAGCTCATTAATTCTGAGCAGCTTGCTTGTTATGCCTGTGCCGTTACTCCGTTCCCTCTATCCCCTACCCCCTCTTTCTCTCTCTCTCGCTTGCTCATTCAGCCTCTTCCCATTCTGTCTTCTGCCGTTGCCTATCTTTTGTTGCCAGCCCTGCCAATGTTTCAAGATGACACACGTTTTAGAGAAAGCCCCCCCTCCCCAATCTGTGGCATTGTCTCCTCCACCAATTACCGTGCCCATCTCTGATTAACTTTGATGTGGAACCTAATGAGATAAGGCCGACCGTCGAGGTAGTGGCTGATAGCTGCCTCATTTATGCCCGTGTGAGGCATTGCTGAGCCACACTGGCTAATGAGAGGAGAAGGGGAGTCTTCCTCACTTCATCAGCCTCGCAGGAGTGCCGCGCTATCGCTGCATTCGGAGACACTCCATATCCGTGCACATATGGCCATAAAAAAAAAAGCCAAATATACTTCAAGAGTTTGGGAAGCAGGAACAGACCCTCCACTGTCTCGCACACGTCATCTTTGCCTGGTTAATGGCTGCACTAGGGTTTAACGGCTATGCTAATTGCTGGAGTATTTTGTTGTGTGTGCTTACCGAAGCCTCTACCCTTATCTACAGCTCCAGCATTAAAACCTTATTGTGGCACATCTGGGTGCCCTGTAAATCCTGCCTGTACAAGAGAGAAGGAAAAGAGAGCTGTTATTGTTGTAGGCATTGTTTGTAGTCTCCCATTAGCACTTGGAAGGTCTTGGGAACAGTACGAATATTCCACTGACAGAGAATCATTATACCTTTCTCATGCATTGACCTCTGTGACTCAACTCTTAATGAAGGATTTCTTTGTTTTAATAATATTTTTTTTTCTTATACATCCATACATAATTCCTTAAATGTTTATTTGCCGATGTATATTTTTCTTATTATTAGGCGTGCTGCTAACATTAACAATTAATGGTATTATTGTAATTAATTGTAGAAATAAATTCTATTTAAAACATTTTATCTTCATTTAGGTGCTTTTCTCAACAACTATATGTGGCGATTTAAAAAAAAAAAATCTTAACTAATAATCAAACACATCATGTATTGTTTTGGTAACACTTTAAGGTTTCATTTATTAACATAACATTGGTTATGATGAGCTAACAATGAACAATACTTGTACAGCAATTTTTAATCTTAGTTAATGTTAATTTCTGCATTTACTAATGCATTTTTAAAATCAGATATTTTCTGTTAACATTAGTTTATGCACTGTAAATTAACATAAACAAACAATAAACTATTGAAATGTTATTAACATTAACAAAGGTTAATAAATGTTGTAAAAATATTTTGCTCATATTTCATGTTAGCTAATGTATTTAATGTTAACAAATGAGACCTACACATTTTTGAATTAATAGACAGTCTTAATTTTATAAAATCAATATTGAAATTAATATTGTACACTCTTTATATTGCATTATATTGCAAGGCCGTAAAAATAATAACAATAATAATTACAGCTGTAATATTTGAACATAAAATGTAATATACAATGTATTTGATACATTTGCAGAAAAATAAACATTTACTGAGCTTTAGCTTTAGTAACTTAATATTATATTTTCGTTTAATGCATTTTCATTTTTTCCAAACTTAAATTTAATTTAAAAATGTATTTAAAAAAACAAAACAAGACATAAATGGCAAATTCCCTGCCATGCCACCACAGACCCCCTATTGCAGAGCAACATCCTGCTATGAAACAAATATTTAGGCAATATGAAAAAAATAATAATAATAATGTACTGTACTATAGTTAATTTCAAATAACAAATTGGATAAATATTAATTTATATTACAACCAGGACATACAGTTGAATCTTTTATCAACATTTATTAGCCATTTGCTGTATTATTATTATTATTATTATTATTATTATTATTATTGCCTTACTGATTTACTGAGTTTTCTCTAAAATGTAAAGAGAAGTGCAATCCCTCTGTGTTGTGTGGCTTTTGATTTGGATTATAAATGTAAATAAAATATCTGCATCTAGCACACACTCGAGGTAAATGGGCAGAGCATGAATGCAGCTCTGTGAGCTGTGGAGAGCCCTACAGACTTTAAAGCACAGGCCCAATTAAGCTGTGCCTCATCAGCTGGAAGAGAGAGACATACCCAGAGCTGAAGACTGAAGATAATACTGCCTTACAAAGCAGCCGCTTCTCACTCAGTGTAAAATTAGAGCCAAACATCTTGATAACACCCAGAAAAAGAAGAAACCTCCAAACAGAAGAGAGAAAGAAGAAAGTTACGCAAATCACTTAGCCAAATAAAGGCCTTCCTAGTCAACACAATTAATGGTGTCCTTTTGTGTTCTAATAATACATCATAACTGTGTGTGTGTGTGTGTGTGTGTGTGTGTGTGTGTGTGTGTGTGTGTGTGTGTGTGTGTGTGTGTGTGTGTGTGTGTGTGTGTGTGTGTGTGTGTGTGTGTGTGTGTGTGTGTGTGTGTGTGTGTGTGTGTGTTAGGTGGTTGTTGGGGGGATTTTTTCTTTATCTAAATTGTAACCAATTAAGGACAAAGCAGTGCCCTCTAGCTTTCCAGAAAAGGAGTCGCGAGCATAAAAGGAAATTGACAGTCGACATTCCAATTTCATTCAAGGAGGCAATTTCCTAATGCTAATCACCATCTGCAGATGTTGTCCGCTGATATATTTCTCTACATTCTTTTTTTTTTTTCATCCCAGCTGCGACCATGTAACATTTGTGACAAAGGCAGAAAGCTCAGTGCTAAGATGCTTGCACCAGGTTTGTAGAGTTCAACAAGCCAGACAGCTTTCTGTCTCTCTCACTCTCTGATATATCATCAGAGCTTACTGTCTGAGCCGCTGAATGAAAGCACTCTTACTAGAGAGGTGTTAAAAAATAGCAGCTCTCTGGATGTCTTTGCACAGATATTTCAGTGTGAAGAGTGGAGGCAGATGTGATCTTATGTGAGCAAATCGGTTTTGATTTTCCCTTTTTATTGCAGAAATGGACATTTCATTGCTTCAGTGTTTTTTGAAAATGATTAGCCAGTTGAAAATACTATTCTTTGCATGTAATTATTTTTCTGACTTAGATCGTTTAAATATAATTGCAATTAAATACATTTAAAAAAGCAAATGTGCTTCTACTAGACATATCATTTCAAGTACGGATTCATTTAATTATTCACTTTACTTTTAATTATTTTTATTATGATTTTCTTATTTTTATTTTGGTAATTTAAATACATTGCAATTAAATATATTTAAAAAAAAACTAAAAAGTGCTTCCACTAGACAAACAATTTTAAGTACTGATTCATTTGTATCTATTAATTTTAATAACATAGGCATAATAGGTACAAAAAATGTAATTATAATATTATTGTATAGTATTATTAATATTATATTATTACTATTACTCTAATAATTGGCTATTACAGGCTTGGTGTTATTTTGGGAGAATGAGGGTTAAGAGCTCTTGAACCACACACTCATGAAATCACCACTGTGAATGAAGAAACCTAACAACATTAAAATTACACAAGTAAAATCGAAATACCTATTTTACATAGTTATTACATATAGCTAAAAATTCAGCATTTACAAATAGTGAGTATATTCTTCTACCGTGACCTTGTACATTTGTCTTAGTGTTTAGAAAAATTCTCGGGACAGAATGTGTCTAGGTTTTTGGCTGCGGCGACGCTTAAATAATCTCTTCTTTCTCTCGCTCTCCTTTCAGAATTCCATTTGTTCCTTTTACACTTTCTGTTTGGATTTTGGAGATAGCAACCACTACAGCAGTCCCAGCACTTACAATGCCAGACTCTGTTTTGAAACAATTGTGACTCGTGGCCTCTTCAAGCATGCTAAGCGATCAAAAACAGGCCAAGACAAACAAGGCCTGCAGCTGTCCACAAAACAAAACCACAGATAAATACTCAAACACGTCTGGGCCAGCGGAAACGGCTTGGCTCTCGCCTGGCCCTGAAAGGACCCATTGTGCTCCCCAAAACAGCACAATGTCACGCAGCCCTCATTTGAGAGAAATTTTTATTTACCACGTCTTTCATTCGCGGAGCGCCGCGGCGGTGGGAGCGAGAAAAAAGGAGGAAAATACCCACCCTGCTGGAACGGAGTGGAACGGCTCCAACCTCCCTCGCCATCGCTCAGCCCGGTTGTACAACCAGATCTCTCTCATCTTTCAGCCAGAGATACTCGACGTGCCGAAACAGTTTAGACGGTGGCACTGAAAAGCCTCGTTTTAATATGCAGCACGGCAATTCATTATCATTCTATTGGGTGCTACAATGATGACTGAAGAGTCTTTGACCCCCCCTGATTGTCAGATCACGGTCAGTTACTAAGAAAATAAAATCTGCATTCCTGTCTGACTGCTCCCACCTCAATCTACATCTTTCCGCTTATAAAAACTCCCCCCTTTGATGGGTGTATTCACGTTCTCAATGAGGCCACTTCTAACAGAATAGACTTGTTTTTAAGCGAAATAATTGTTTTGATCTTGGAATATGAAAGGCAATTTTATCTCAAGGGTGAGAGATGTACAGCAGGATGGCTGCTGAAGGATAAATTTGTCGGATTGTAGGTTAGATATACACAAGCAGGTGTGCCGTAAAAAGGATAGCGCGAGCGAAGACATGGGCGACAAGGCTTGTCGTGCTGTAAATATGTCCTCTCATTCATGTGGGCAGTCCAGCAGCGGGAACACAAAGCCTAATTAAAAAGCACCCAGACACAGCGCAGCTTTAGTGGGTGTCAATGACGATCCATTAAGAAGTCTTTACAGTGACCTGTCCCAACCCACTGTCATGTATCTCTCTAGCACACACACACATGCATACAAATCTTGCTCATGCATACGCTTTTCCCTCCGTGCGTACTCCCAGAGCCACTGCTCCAAGACAGCAGTAGTCGCTTCTATTAGCGCCTGTGTGGCCTGCCTGCCCCTGGGGTCAGCGGTAATCCAGGGGGAGTTTCACATTGTGTTTTGGGACATGGGGTCAAACTGTTTGAAATGAGGGGGTTTTGTTAAACATCCATTAGCCAGACCCAATGTATTGTCTTGATTTATTGGGAGACGGAGGCACTCCATCCCGCTACTGCGGTGAATGCTGTAGACGGCAGTAAAACACAGAACAGCTCTTAGTTACCAAGGGTAGTTAAGCAAAATAATTTTCTTATTTTATTAAAACGAAAAACAAAAATCACACTGATTTCCTAAATGTGTGAGAAGTGCAATGACAAAAATCGAAAGCTAGATTAATTAAAACTAAAGTTTAAAAGCTAATAACTCTTTATTTTTAAGAGGATTGTGCAGTGATTTCACAGTTTCCATTCTGGGTTCCTTAAAGAACCTTTCAGCAAACAGTTCTCAAAATAATCATTTTTTTTCTTCTTAGTGTGAAGAACATTTTAATAATCGAAGGAACCTTTTTTCTCTATGAAGAACCTTTTGAGCAGTGGAAAGGTTACATAGATATTTAAGGTTCTTCACTGAACAATAGGCACCCAAAAAACAAAAAAACACTGTACTTCCAAACTGTAAGGCATGTGAAAAAATCGTCAGTTCTGCCTTTGTTCTAGTCATGCTATGTATTGTGCGTAATTAATGCTAATTACCCTGCTTTAACAGAAGAGAATGCAGGGCTCATTAAAACAATCTACTGAAAGAATTTAAACTCCACTTTACCTTATTTGACAAGTTATCTTTCGTGATTTCAGTAGGATTTTTGCTCTTGGCATCATGCAGAATGATAGAACCGTGATTTTTATATCATCTTCTGGAGACTGAAGGTAAACAGGCTCTAATTATACGGAAATTCCCCTGCACAGGCTAGGAAATGTCAGCCTATTACTTCACTGCGAGTTTCAAATGCTCAAGATAATGACCAGTTACTAATTGGTGCTTATACTTTAAATCGGTTAGCATGGAATATAATTGCAGCTATTATGGAGGTAAATAATCCCTGGAAATGAGCATCTTTTAGCCAAAACGCATCCTAAACAGAACTACGGGGGAGAAAGGGTCTTGGTGTTGACATTGAGATGGTGTGATTTTTCATTAGCATAAAGTTCCCAGGGACCGGGGGGGGGGCTGTGTGTAACATCACATGGCTGTTGAGACCCTGTATTGGCCGTGAATTAATGTTCTGGATGGGCCATGCTTCTTTGTGAGCTTTCTTCTATCAGCTGTCGATGTATTAAGTGCTATGGCTGGCCATATTATTTTTCATATGTGCCCGTGTGCTAGGTTCCCAGCATTTCCCCGTTTACAAGAGACTTGAGGTGCATGGGGACTTTATATATACTCTTAAAAATTAAGGTTCCAAAAGGCGATGCCATAGAAGAAGGTTTTTGGTTCCCCCAAGAACCTTTCATTGAACAGTTCTTAAGAGAACCATTAGTTTCTCCGTGTGAAGAGCATTTTAAAAATGCCACTGTAAATGAACCTTTTGTGCAGTTGAAAGATTCCATGGATCTTAAAGGTTCTGCATGGAACTAACGATGCCAATAAAGAACCTTTATATGCCAGGCTTGGAACCAGAACAGGACTTTGGAGGTTGGCAGAAGAGAGCATGGTCGTTTGACCGGAGCGGTGGGCAGCGTAACCCCCACCACCATACAGCACCAACGCCACCGCTGTCTGCCTGTTTGCACCCATGTCACGCTTGTGTGACACCCCACTTTGCTGTGCTTGTTTGAACTGTCCCACCCAATTAGCGCTAATAAGTGACTCGGTAAGGATGAGCAAACATGGTGTATACAATCCTTCCTTGTGCCCTCCCTGACGCTTAGCAGCCCATGAAAATCCCCCAAAGAGCACAACCCCTGCTAATAGACAGAGAACGCCAAACGCATCTCGTTTTCTGAGCAAACAAGTGCCAGTAAAGAGGCAAATTAATGACAAGTCATTTAAAGGGGTTTGTCGGGGAAATGATTTTGCCCACGTCTCACCGCTGAAGAATTGATTAGGACCTGCTCGATCAAAGTACCTGAATCAATAAAGTAGCGCAGAGAGAAGAGAAAAGACATGCTCCAGCTTAATTTATCCCCTGCACCATTTCTTGTAGGAAAAGAGAGATGAGAGGGGAGATACCATACTAATCTGTCAGGTGGAAATGAGCAGTCTTGTTAAGACAGAGGTGTTGACGGAAGGTTTTAGTGCCTATATTTACCTGCAGTTTGCTTCTTTAGCAGGCATCATACAGTAGCCCATGCTATGAGAAAGCAGTAGCATATGGAAAGTATTTAAAGGCTTTGAATTAGTATGTTTAAAAGTCCATAATGGTATGCTTTGTGTGTGTGTGTGTGTGTGTGTGTGTGTGTGTGTGTGTGTGTGCGGTTGTACAACCAGATCTCTCTCATCTTTCAGCCAGAGATACTCGACGTGCCGAAACAGTTTAGACGGTGGCACTGAAAAGCCTCGTTTTAATATGCAGCACGGCAATTCATTATCATTCTATTGGGTGCTACAATGATGACTGAAGAGTCTTTGACCCCCCCTGATTGTCAGATCACGGTCAGTTACTAAGAAAATAAAATCTGCATTCCTGTCTGACTGCTCCCACCTCAATCTACATCTTTCCGCTTATAAAAACTCCCCCCTTTGATGGGTGTATTCACGTTCTCAATGGGGCCACTTCTAACAGAATAGACTTGTTTTTAAGCGAAATAATTGTTTTGATCTTGGAATATGAAAGGCAATTTTATCTCAAGGGTGAGAGATGTACAGCAGGATGGCTGCTGAAGGATAAATTTGTCGGATTGTAGGTTAGATATACACAAGCAGGTGTGCCGTAAAAAGGATAGCGCGAGCGAAGACATGGGCGACAAGGCTTGTCGTGCTGTAAATATGTCCTCTCATTCATGTGGGCAGTCCAGCAGCGGGAACACAAAGCCTAATTAAAAAGCACCCAGACACAGCGCAGCTTTAGTGGGTGTCAATGACGATCCATTAAGAAGTCTTTACAGTGACCTGTCCCAACCCACTGTCATGTATCTCTCTAGCACACACACACATGCATACAAATCTTGCTCATGCATACGCTTTTCCCTCCGTGCGTACTCCCAGAGCCACTGCTCCAAGACAGCAGTAGTCGCTTCTATTAGCGCCTGTGTGGCCTGCCTGCCCCTGGGGTCAGCGGTAATCCAGGGGGAGTTTCACATTGTGTTTTGGGACATGGGGTCAAACTGTTTGAAATGAGGGGGTTTTGTTAAACATCCATTAGCCAGACCCAATGTATTGTTTTGATTTATTGGGAGATGGAGGCACGCCACCCCGCTACTGTGGTGAATGCTGTAGACGGCAGTAAAACACAGAACAGCTCTTAGTTATTCTAGCCATGCTATGTATTGTGCGTTATTACACTAATTACCCTGATACAACAGAAGAGCATGCAGGACTCATTAAAACAATGAAAAGAATTTAGACTCCGCTTTACTTTATTTGACAAGTTATACTTCGTTGGATTTTTGCTCTTGGCATCATGCGGAATGATAGAACTGTGATTTTATATCATCTTCTGGAGACTGAAGGTAAACAGGCTCTAATTATAGAGGCACTACAGCAATTCCTCTGCACAGGCTAGGAAATGTCAGCCTATTACTTCACTGCGAGTTTCAAATGCTCAAGATAATGACCAGTTACTAATTGGTGCTTATACTTTAAATCGGTTAGCATGGAATATAATTGCAGCTATTAAGATGTAGACGGCAGTAAAACACAGAACAGCTCTTAGTTACCAAGGGTAGTTAAGCAAAAATTTTTTTTTTATTATTTTATTAAAAAAAAAATCCCACCGATTTCCTAAATGTGTGAGAATTGCAATGACAAAAAATGCCAGCTAGATTAATTGAGATTAAAGATAGCATCTTTTAGCCAAAACACATCCTAAACAGAACTACGGGGGAGAAAGGGTCTTGGTGCTGACAGTGAGATGGTGTGATTTTTCATTAGCATAAGGTTCCCAGGGGCCGGGGGGATGTGTAACATCACCTGGCTGTTGAGACCCTTTATTGGCCGTGAATTAATGTTCTGGATGGATGGACCGTGCCTGTTTGTGTGCTTTCTTCTATCAGCTTTATACTCTTAAAAGCTAATGTTTCAACATAGTGTTTTTACATCAATGCCATAGAAGAACTTTTTTGGTTCCCCAAAGAACCTTTCAGTGAACAGTTCTTCAAAGAACCATTAGTTTCTTCATGTGAAGTTCATTTTAAAAAATCTAAAGAACCTTTTGAGGTTCCATGGGTTCTTCATGGAACCATCGATGCCAATAAAGAACCTTTGTTTTTAAGAGCGATACCGGCAGGCTTGGAACCAGTGGAACGGCTCTTTGGAGGTTGGCAGAAGAGAG